TCCAGCTGAGATGAACTTCACCCAATAGGCTGATAGCTGTAGTCAATGATACTAGATTTTTTTTCTGTTGTTTTAGCAATAATTTTGTTACTGATTGCACTTCGTATTTGCAGAACAAAATAAATGAACGAACTGGGGATTGTTTTCTTAAACTGAACCTTGCGCTTTGCTAGCATAGGAAAATCCTTTGCAATTCAGGACTTTCTGAATCAGTCTAACAGTTAATTTGTTGAGATGAACAAGGTACTGAGTGTTGGGATAGAAAGGAAATGCTTATGTTTTAAAATTGAAAGAGACTGCCTATGTCAATTGCATCCATCTCTCAGCTCTTCCAGGAAACTGAGCAGCTTTCAGAAATGCAAGACCTATACTTAAACTACTTGGGTTTCTTGCACCTGCTTCTCAGTAAAAGGCTGTTCCTGGACTTTCTCTGACAAGAGAATCCCCTTTTCATTTGCCAACATCATTCTTTAACTGAGAAAATCCTTCTCTTGCCCTGTATTCCCTGTCTGTACTGAATCTATAGGTACTGTTTTAACTTGCCAAGCTATTGAACAGTTAACATCTTAATGGCAGTGCTCTCCATTTCCTTCTCATCTCTCCTGACATTTCTTCTTATTTGCATTAACTTCTTCTAAACAAGAATGAACAGAATTTTGTGCAATGTACTGAATGACAAATCCATAATTATAGCCAAGGGTATTTTTGATAGACTCCAGCTTCAGTTTCTTAAGAGTTTAAAAGGTAAACTGAGGCCAGACTTCCAGTTTCTCACTTCTTTCAAGCTAGAACATGCCTTTTTCTCCAACTAGTGCAAGCAGGTCAGTGACAACATGATTTTAGGAGAAATCTTGCTTTCATTGCAGCTCTCAGGAAGATTGACAGTTCAGGATTAGTAAGTTCTGATCGACACATTTACAAGTACTCCAGCACTGCTGTTTCTTTACAGCAGAGATTCAGGAGTTTAATACTTAGTGTGTCTTTATATATGGGTATCTAGTTCAATCAGAGGCTTTACATGACAGAGGATTGGCTTTCAACTTGGTCTTAGCGTGGCTTAGGAGGAGAAATGGCAGGAATGACATAAATACATTTCATTAGCATTTTAATTTGGTCCAGAAAGTCTTTGAATGGCCTCTCCTGATCATCCTTATTTGCTGTAGTTTAGTTTGCACAGCAGAGCAGACTTAGAGTGCACAAGGTGGATTTACAAAAATAACCTGGATTGATGAAAGCAAATCCAGAGAGATGGACTCTGGAGACACACCAGATGCACTGTAACTGCATGGTAGCAGCCTAAAGTTAGTCCCAAACAACCCCCACTGAATCGTGCTTCATGTGGATGTCAGGTGTTCAGCACCATCTGTTCTGCACCACAAATCTGCTATAACAGGTGACCTAGCTCGTTATCCAAGCACAACTGGGGGGATGTTCTTTAGCATGTCTTACGCTAGGAGACTGGACAACTTAGTGAACTTCCCCTCTGACTTATTCCATGGGCTGAGGGACAGGAAGCTTTTCATTCTGTTTGTGCCATGTCACTGCAGTAAAACTATAAAAAATACTTGATTATCTTCCACCGCCTTCCCTGCCTTTTTTGCAAAACTTCTGAAAAATAGCTTGCCTTTATTTTGATGCTTGGCTTAGGTTCAAGGATAACTTCTGATTTTCAGGTTATATATTGAAACCCATAATAGTCACTTGTGTTAGCTGCTCTCTGTCTGAATAGAAGACAATCTTCTGTTACCTAAGCATTTTCAAGGGATCTATAGCAGTTCTATGAAGAAGGATGATATTGGAGTCTTGAAATGCACTTAGCAACATACTAATGGCTGTGCTGGGTCTGAGAAAGAAATGATCCAAGAAAAATTCCTAAAATGCCCCATATGCTGTCTATAGCAAGGGGTTGATACACAGAGGAGATGTAAGAGAAAGGTGGAAATACAGTGATATTTTTCCAAAACACTCTTTCAGACTCATGCAATTTGTGGTTTGGGATTTCTTGATTAAGAGGTGATGTTTGTGTTTAATTGCCCCTTATTTGAATGTTCCTCCTTTACTTTGTCCTGCTGAATTTTGCACCCAGCTGCTTACTTGTCTTGTGGCAATGAATTACGGCAGGTCGCTATACTGATAGGATTGCAAATGTCAAACAATAGTAGCAGTGTCTAATACAGCTCTGTGTTGAAAATGATGTATGAGATGTTTTGGTAAAATACTGAGATACTAATTGCATTTATAGCTTCGGTTTGACTGGGAGATCTTTAGCCATAATTATTTATGAAATGAAGGAGTTTCTGCATACATGAGGTTCAGCCTGCAATTGACAGATTATTGCAGCTGTATAATTTGTATTTCTGGAAAGACAAGTCTGATGTGCTTTTCTATTAAAAATGCAAGCAAAAAAAATGAAATGCAAAGACTGATAGTTTTGGTGACACTGATATATTAATCCTATTAACATGTTTATTTGTTACACTCATTTAGATTAATAGTATTTTGCTTGGCAGCTATTTGTACTTCCAGAGTTAAAGCTTAGCACAGTCTCATACATACTGTTCAGGTATGTTTTTGTTCCTCTCAGTCTGGACCTTTAAAGTGAAATAATTTTTTAATCGAATGATGCTATAATGAAAATTTGAATCAGTTTCTCTCTGCAGCTGTGTTGAATTGACTTGTTTCTCATGGCAGTGGGCTCTTCAGGAAGGAAGTACCTCCATTTTCCCCCACAAAACACCATGCTCTTATGTCTGGATTAATGAAATTGAATTCTTTTAACCCAGGAAACTTGCCTTCACAAGAGGCAAGTGAAAGGCAGCTAATCCTTTCACTTGCCTCTTGTCTGTGATTTCCAATGTAAATTGCCAAGTAAGAAAAACACACATTGTTGTCGTTCCTACTTCTGCCTGTTACAGAGGCAGTTGATCAGCCTTGAAATGGTTCATCTAACCATTCAGTGCCTGAAAACAAAAATAGAAAATTTTTGCCTGTAAGCAAAAATAGAAAAGGCATGACCAGCTTGTCTGGTTGCTGTCCCTGATCATTTTCACAGTGTCAGATCTTCATCTGAGTTAGGTACTGCCTTGGGTTTCCGTGCATGTCTGCACAAAACATGGGTTTATTCTTGTCTTTGTAGTCTTTGTGCTTCATATTGCAGACAGTTGTGTTCTGCAAATGGAGTGCCTTGGACTCTGTGAGATGCTGTAGTATCTACTACAGAATAAAAGCCATTGAAGAAAAACTGACTGTTCGCATCAACAGTTGATGTGTTTATCAAGACTTCCTTATTACTAGTGTAATAGACGTAGATTTACCAAGGGTGGGTGCATTTTTCATAGATGGAAAGCCATTCACATTCAAAAAATGTGCTGCACCCTCTTGTTAAACAGACTGCATGGAACAGATCTAGTCATTTAAGAAAAATGAGCTATAGATCATCAGTAAACTTCAGTGAGCAATAAGGAATTTCTTACAATGAAAGAGGCCGTTCATCGAAAGTGCCAAAAGAAAAGTGGATTCTACAAGAGTAAAGAAAAAAAACCAACAAACAGAAGAGAGAAGTTATTGGGCTTAGTCAAGAGCAGCCAGAAGCGGTGGGGAAAATCCATACTGTGTACATTTCATTCTTTAGCCTGTCTCAGTACAGCTGTGTAACAATGGATTCAAAGACAGCATGAGAATGCAGTTAAGAATATTTTGAATTCCTCATTTAGGCACCTAATGTTACTTAGTGCAAATTCAGTGACTCTTGTTAGTGCAAATCATTTGTCCTTTCCAGCCTTAATAAGAATGCTGCAGTTCTGTGGCATAAATGAGGCCCTTAGTCGAAACCCCTTTAGAAAATTTAGAATCTGAATGACTAGGAAGAGTTAATTCCGCATACACTTTGAGGATTGTACATTGGAAAAGAGGAAAATACGTTCTTGAAATGGAATTTGTGACTCTGTTAACTCACTAGGCCAGAAATAGCAGTAAAGACCATCAGGGCTGGATCTTTAATTTGAACAGATACATAGAGAAGTTTCTTCATTCAGAGTCAGTTTGCTGCACGATTCTAAAATGTACGAGTTTTGAAGGGAAGCAAGAAGTATGTCAGGGTTCTCAGTATGAAGGGCAAGCTCCTGGCAAACCCTTTGGGGCTGTGCTGAGGGAAATAAATGAGAGAACTTTAGGCTGGTGGGATCACGTAACCAAAATTTTAGTGACAAGACCAAAATGACGTGATATCAAGGCTGTCTCTACAGAAGGGCAGGGCCACCTCAGACCATGAGGTGAATTGTGCCTGAATTGTGCCAGCAAAACAGACTTGGAGGAAGCAGAAGGGCTTTTGGCCAGAGCTGGACTGGGTCCTTGAGTGGTGCTGAGCATTTCCTGCCTGTGCTTTTAGATAGGAAGTGGAAGCATTAGCCAGACCTGTTCCAGTTTGTGAGAATAAATCCTTATCACACCTTTAATCATAGCATTCTCTGCCTCTGTCTGAAGCTACCTCATACTACTGACAGGAACTGCCCTGTGGTGCCCCCCAGAGCTGTCACATTTCAGTTCAAGATTAAATGGAAGGCAATGAAAGTCACTTATGTTGTTCTAGCTGGGTACTGTCTTTTAAAGGTATCTGTGCTACTGGTATGTGTCAGATTTGCTCACATACTTGCTACTTCTATTGTGTTTGAAGTGATTGATACTCAAGAACACCAGGGCGCATAATCCCTGACTTGCTATGCATGGAATGTGATGCCAATGGAGCTGACAGGCCAGGTCTGCAGGTGCCAAGAGGCAAAAGGTCATTGCCCAGTGATATTAAAAGGGTGGGAGAAGAATGGCTCAGTAAGATACTAAATTTTTCTCATTCTAAAACAGATGTGGGAGAGACCAGAAGCCGGTCTAACGCGAACGTGTTTTTGAAGAGAGCGACATGGTTAGGCTCACCAAAATGTAGGTTTGTATGTGACTGTGGTGCTCATTGAACTGAAGCAAGCAATGTTTTCTTTTCCTGTGGCTAGCTCTTGGACATCTCGGTCAAGTGGAGCATCCAGGACATCTCTCCCCCCAAGTATCTCCATTACGACCCGGGGACATCTCGTCAAGTGATGTGCAACCAGTGCCCACCTGGGAGCTACGTAAAGCAGCACTGTACAGCTGCCAGCCCCACGGTGTGTGCCCCATGCCCAGATCGGTACTACGCTGAAGACTGGAACAGCAACGACGAGTGCCAGTACTGCAGTGCTGTTTGCAAAGAGCTGCAGTACGTCAAGCAGGAGTGCACGAGCACGCAGGACCGCGTCTGCGAGTGCATTGAAGGCCGGTACTTGGAGCTGGAGTTTTGCTTGAAGCACACGGAGTGCCCTCCTGGGTTTGGTGTTGCACAGCCAGGTATGTGCCATTTGTCAGGAAGCACAGTTAATCACTGCTCTGCAGTACGTTGGAGCTCATGGTGCTTACGGGATTAGGAAACAGGCTTGACCAGATGAAGTTACAGGACAGTAAATTACAAAGGCAATTGAACCCTCTCCTAGACTGCTGCATTTGAACTGTAGCCAAAGGAATGTTTCTCAGTGGAATACCCCCTCCTCTATCCTAATGGCAGTAACGTAATGGCAGCAGCAAATGTAGCAAATTGCACTCTAATGAGAAACATGATGGATTGCCTCTTTTAAAGGGACATTATCTGTAATGTAGTATTTGTGTGTGTGATAAATAATGTTTTTCATTGTGAAATCTGCTGTTTCAAGCAACTGTGTATCTTAACAAACACCGGGACCACTAAGTGTTTGACACCAACTGTATAATTAAAACAATATTAATATAGCTCTAGAAGCACAGCAATATGTGGTAATAATTAATTACCAGCATCCTAAATGGAACTCTTAGGGAAACTGTTACAATTATCATACAAACTACTTTTTTTTTTGTCAAGCAGAATGACACTGCATGGTACGTCTGGTGGGGATAGAGGGTGAAGCAGTGCGTTCCAGTGGAGTGTATTCTTCATTTGAGACAGCATGAATTGTTAAACCAGTAATAAGCTCTTCTCTCTAAACAAAATGCATTATTTATCATTTGGCAATTTAGCTCCAATATTTAATACAGCCTGAAAGAGTTATATAATGTCATTGTATTGGAGACTGGTAACAGCCCAGAGGAAGGGAATATGGAAAATCAAAGCACCTCCAATAAAAACCTGTAGGCAGCCGGTCTCCAGAACTACAGAATGACTGCCCTAGGTGATACATATACAAAGTGAGAAACAAAAGGGCTGGCTGTAAATTTAGAGACATGCTGAATAATAGCTCAGGAGTCCTCTCTCTGGTTATGAACATTACATTGGAGAACTAGTCTGATGTAAGGAGCAGTGTTACTGATCACCATTCCCTGAGTAATTGGCTGAGCTCTCTACCCTCATCCTACATCTGCTCTTGCCACCGTTAGGCATTTCTATGCAGCTCCACTGGCAGTGACCATGGTTCCATATTATAAACTGTCATTAACCTAGGTCCTCACATCTTGTGGCTTGGGTTAATGAAGTTGCACCACACCTTGACAGCAAGTCAAAAGGGGACACAAAATTCTCTGAAAGCCCACCCAGGAGACAAAGATATAACCCTACAAACACAGTGAAGCCATAGTCAACAGATAAGAATCCCTAAGTTTGTAGCAAGACCAACTTTAGAAGATAAATTGTTGAACCATGTATTTATTGGAAAGTCAGTTTCCAAAAGCCCATCAGAATGAACAAGCTAAACCTCAGCAAGACCTCAGATAAGGAATGAAAAGACTATAAGAATTATGTCCTCCTGTGCCAATAGTCAGGTTTTGCAGTGAGGCATTGGCTAGGAATTTAGTAAGCATGGACCACATTTTCTTCCCACTTTCTGCTACATTATACTGTTGAACTTTGTACTGATTTAAATTCAGAGGGAAGAGAACCTGAATATAGAAGAATACACTCCCACTGCCCCACAGGGTGATAGTGTGGTTCAGAGCCTAGGTCAAAGCATAAAGAATTAGAAATGAAATCTGACTGTTGCCCTGCTGATGACAGCTACATTGGGAAGATACTTTACTTTGGTAGTCCCCATTTCTGCATTTGCATTAAGGCTTTGTTGCTTGCTGCTGCAGTCAACCCTGTGTGTGGCAGAGCTTTCCAAAGCAATCCACTGGGAATCAGGACTTCTGCCAGGCTGTTATCTCCCAGCTGTGCTGCTGCTTCCTGCAGGAGAGGGGGATTCCAGTTGCCCTGGAGGGAGCGGCAGAAGGGCAGCTGTGATGCGGCCCTGAACAAGAGAAGCCAGATAAGCAGTGAAGAAACTGGAAAGGTGGGGGGACTACTTTGTGCTCAGCAATGGATTGCCTGTTTATTTCCCTCTTGTGCTGCAAAGGTTACAGGGGAACTTCTGAAAGGACCAGCTTACCGTTTGCAGGGACTCTCCTCTCTTCCTCTTCCTTGCTGATGAAACACAGAGTGTCTGTAGAAGGAAAAACTGATATAAGTTCAGACTTCTCAGAAAAAGTAATTGCTGCTTGCTCAGGTGCAGGTGTTGGCTTGAGTTTTGTATCATCTGGAGTCTCCAGCAGTGTGTGTTGGGGAAGTGAGCGCCAGGGCTGCTGTGCATGCAGCCTTACCCAGAGCCTTTGCTGCTGGCTGCAGAAATTGCAGGGTTTGGGCTTGACAGTATCCAGGGCCTCTGTTTTCCAGGTGCACAGCAGCTAAACTTTTCCCCTTTGTTTTCACCTCGGGTCTAATGGAAGAAGAGCTAGATCATAGAATCAGACAATCCTTAGAGTTGGAAGGGACCTTTAAAGGCCATCTAGTCCAGCTCCCCTACAATGAACAGGGTTATGCACAGCTAGATCAGATAGCCTAGGGTCTGGTCTGGCCTCACCTTGAAATTCTTCTGGGACAGGGCATGAATCACATCTCTGGGCAGCCTGCTCCTGTGCCTCACCACTTTCACTGCAAAGGACTCTTTCCTTATATCTAATCTAAATGTACCCTCTTTAAGCTTGAAGCCATTTCCCTTTGTTCTATCACAGCAGACCCTGCTAAAGAGCCTGTTTCTTTTCTGTAGATTTCCTTTAGATACTGGAAGGCCGCTCTCAGATCACCTCAGAACCTACTCTTCTTCAGGCCAAACAGCCCCAGCTCTCTCAGCTGTCCTTGTAGGAGAGGTGTTCCATCTCTTGGACTATTTTTGTGGCTCTCCTCTGAATGTGTTCCAACAGATCTGTATCAAATCAGATTATATATTCCATGGCTAGTTGAAAACTCCTGACTCTTTTCTCTGAGGAAATATCCCAAATAAATAAAATTTACTTCAAAACTAGAGCTGTAATAAGCATCCACATGTAAATACTACCAAGATACACTAGATGGAGGCACTTTCATATTCAAATAAGATTGTTAATTATTATTTGCAAATAATATTAAGCATGTGCTTAAGTCTGTGTTCAGTAATGCAATATTGTATAGTAGAGCTTAGGCACTTGCTTAAGTGATGTCTGCATAACTGTGAATTAAGGGTGAATATAAAACAAAGACATTTCAAAGCTGACCCAGTTTCAGCCCCCTCCCTTGAGCAGGACTGCCACCCACCAGCTCAGGCTGCCCAGGGCCCCACCTGACCTCACCTTGAACACCTCCAGGTATGGGTCACCCACAGCTTCTCTAAGCAGCCTGTGCCACTGCCTCACTGCACTGAGTAACAAATTTTTTCCTGTCATCTAATCTGAATTTCCCCTCTTTTTACTTTAAAACTCTTACCTGTTGTGCTATCACTATCAACCCAAATGAAAACTTCATTTACCTCCTGTTTATAAGCTCCTTTAGGTATTGGAAGACCACAATGAGATCTCTCCAAAGCCTTCTCCAAGCTAAACACGCCCAACTCTCTCAGCCTTTCTTTGCAGGAAAGGTGTTCCAGCCAAGTGATCATCTTCTTGGCTCTCCTCTGGACCCACTCCAACAGTTCCACATCCTTCCCATGCTAGGGCCCCACGTCTAGATAAAATACTCCAGGTGGGGCGGCATGAGGGCAGAGCAGAAAGAGACAATCACCTCTTTCTCCCTCCTGCCACCACTCTTTGGAGGTAACCCAGGGTACTGTCAGCCTTCCAGGCTACAAGCTCACATTGCTGGCTCATGTTCAGTTTTTCGTGTACCAGGGCTTTGCACTCAGTCTGTACTCATATCCCTGACTCGAAAGTGCAGCATCTTGCACTTGGCCTTGTTGAACCTCAGCAGGTCTGCTTTTTGAGCTTGTTCAAGCCCCTTTAGACGGCATCCTTTCCTTCAGTCATATCAACTGCACCACTCAGCATGGTGTTATCAGCAAATTTGCTGAGGGCATAACAATGTCTTCTAAAGCACCGTGTAAATGTATCTGTATGTGTATTAAAGGTTTTTCATATATTGGATGGTACTTGGAGTATTTTACTCAAGCCAGGAAAAAATTAAAAATGTTGGTGGAATTATGATTTCCTGTGTAATTTTATACTTCAGAAGTGGAAATACTTATCAGAGGGTCTTTAGTTGATATGTAGTTGAGTTATTTTTGTATTATTACTAGAGCTGAAGTAATCCATTTGCGTAAGGTTCTCTGCAGATATTTCAGAGTACAGTTTAGCAGAGAGTCTTGTGCCATTTAATTATTTTACACAGTGTTAGTGTGGATGAAAGATGAAGGTCAGGCTTCAGATAATATCTGAATAGATTCAAGTAATTAGTTTCTTAAAGATCCTTACAGGAGTTGATAATAAGTGCATCTGAGAGTTCTGTTTATTCCATTAGTGTAGCAGGAGCATCATTCTCTGAAAAAATTATTTGTTTTTAAAACGTGAAGTGTTTTTTTTTTCCCCATAATGAGTCCTTTGCAGAGAAATAAGAAAACGAAGCGATCACAATTTTATAAAGAATGTATATTTTCTTTTTTTTTTTTTTAACCACTTGAGTTCACATGTAATTGAGTGCATTTTTTTCTTGTTTCCACAGGTACTCCTGAGAGTGACACTGTTTGTAAAAGATGTCCAGATGGATTTTTCTCCAATGAAACATCATCCAAAGCAGTCTGTCAAAAGCACACAAACTGTAGTGCTCTGGGTTTCAAAACAGCATTAAAAGGAAATGCAGTTCGTGACAACATCTGTCAGGAAAATACAGATACATCACCTCAGAAATGTGGAATAGGTGTGTATCCTATTAAACAAAATCTGAAAACATACCTTTGACTGCCACTAACGTGAAAATATCAGCATTTAGATGAAAATAGCCATTTGCCTGATATGGCAGTGGCTGGAGTAGAGTCTTGATTCTTTCAGGCCAGACCAAATGGAACTCAAGCACAGAGAGCAACAACACTAAGGATAGCTTCCTAATTCTAGTGATTTTAACTGTTTTTCCTTATTACTCTTGCTGCATGCTGTGTAGTCCAAAGACAAGCAGGGCAACAGAGATGACATTGATGACATATTATTTTGCTATGAGCAGCCTGCTCTAGCTGTAGTTGTCCCTGTTCATTGCAGTAGAATTTGGCTAGATGACCTTCAGGGGTCCCTTCCAACTCAAATGATTCTATTATTCTATTTTTCTCTTTCTTTTTGTTTCAGATGTAACCCTGTGTGAAGAGGCTATGTTTAGGTTTGCTGTTCCTACTCATCTCACACCCAACTGGCTGAACACCCTTGCGGACAATTTGCCTGGGACAAAGATCAGCACAGAAAATATTGAACAGATTAAACAAAGGCACAGTTCACAAGAGCAGACCTTCCAGGTTTTGAAATTATGGAAGCAGCAAAACAAGGAACAGGATACGGTCAAAAAGATTATTCAAGGTACCTGATGTTGTCAGCACTTACATTGAGAGAAACCTAATTGGCATTTTAAAAATTGCTTGGGATCGAATTCCTTCTGGTGATGTGTTATGCTCTGAGGAGGCCCCTCAGGGCTTGGCAGAAATTTATTGATGCAGTAAGCACAGTGAAACTGAGGGAAGGAAACTTTCCTGATCGGCTCAGAGAACTGACTTCTTCACAGGCACACAGGCCCTTGGGAGTACATGTGGTGTCACAGTCCATATTCTCTTTTGAGGCTGTACAGCATCCAAAGAATTCTGATTAGACAGGGGGAAAGCATTTCCCACTGTTAGATCCGAGCAGTGGTTAGAGGAGCAGGATGTGTGCAGCTGAGAGTGCAGTTTGTTTTTATTATGAAATGGAGATTGACAGCTCGAACCAGGACATCTATACAGAGAGTGGGAGCACATGGGAATACAGAATACACAGACATGCTTTCTCTTCTTTTTCCCTTCCGGGACCTATTTGTCATACCAACTGACTGCTTTGTTTGTGCTGAATCTGCCAAGACAGGTGTCGAAGCTGAAGCAGTGCCGCAACGTTAACATGGGGGCTGTATGAAAGCCAGTCTAACTCTTGTGTAAGCCACCATCAACAGCCACCACATTTGAATGACCTTTTGTCTACTGGGGAGAGATTTGAAAAATGTTACAGAAATGTTTTGCTTTTTTTTTTTTGCCTCTCCTTTTAAATATTTATGGCTATGTCAGATTGTGAGGTGTCTAGAACACTTCAGAACTTAAAATGACTACTTTAACAAAGCTTGCCTAAATATTTCTGAGGAAGAATAAATTTTCATTCACTGGAACCAAATATTAGAAGTCCTATCATGTACACAGAACATTGTGCAAGATAAATGAAACAGGCTTATTGAAATAAATACTTGCTAGTAACCTTGTATGTAATTTGGGGCTGTTTGCATCTGCAAAGTTAATTACATTCTTTAGTTCTTTTCAAAATTGGAGCTTAAAAAAGCCAGTATTGCTGTGAGAACTACTTGAAATAAAAAAAAAAAAATAAAAAAAAAAAAAAAAAAAACAAAAACCACAAACTGAGAAGAAATATTTACCTTGATATTTTGGAAGCTTTTTTGCAGGTCATTTTAAAGTTATCATGCACTGTAGAATCATAGAATGTCTTGGGTTGGAAGGGACATCAAGGATCATGAATCTCCAACCCCCCTGCAGTAGGCAGGGCTGCCAACCTCCACTTTGGAGACTAGACCAGGCTGCCCAGGGCCCCATCCAAATTGTACTTATGTCTCTTTTCTTTTTGCTTTCTACAGATATTGATCTTTGTGAAAATAGCGTCTTAAAGCATCTCGGCCAACCAAATCTCACCTTTGAACATCTCAACACACTGATGGCCAGTTTGCCAGGCAAGAAAGTGGGAAAAGAAGATATCGAGCGCACAATGAAACTGTGTCAACATGCAGAGCAAGTTCTGAAACTTCTCAATCTGTGGAGAATAAAGAATGGAGACCAGGACACCATTAAAGGTTTAATGTATGGACTGAAGCACTTGAAAACATACCACTTTCCAAAAAGGATCATCCAAAGTCTGAAGAAAGTCATTAAGTTTCTTCACCGATTTCCAGTGTACAGATTATACCAGAAACTCTTTTTAGAAATGGTAGGAAATCAACTTAAATCAGTGAAAGTAAGATGTGTCTAATTCAAGTTATTTTTTATTCTCCACTGACAATTTTTGCCTAATTACTGGCAGCAGTAATTAAACTGGAACGTTGTTTCCCTACATTATCTCTTTCTATTTATAAAAATGCCAGACTGGAATAGCTCTACGTCTTTTGCAGTGTTCTTGGAGGTTTTTTATTGTGTTGTTTGTTCGCTCAGTTGGTTTTGGTTTTTTGTTTTGTTTTGTTTTGTTTTTTTTCTTAATCAATTTTTGTAAAAGCTATTAGCCCTGTTGGTAACACTAAGAGCCTGATTCTGCATTTTTGCACATTCAGAGTTGAAAAGCCCCACTATAGTCCCTAAAGGAGAAAAGAATGCTGGACCAGGCTCTAATGCAGTATTTGCTATTTATATTCTTTGAGATATAAACATTTTTGTTGTACATATTTATTAAGTTAAATGGAAATTGTTTGAGACTGAATTTGGGGGAGAGAAATGAAAAGCACACTGTATATTTTCTAGTTAAACAGAAATGATCCCATATATTTTTCTGGCAAAATTTTGTAGCATGCTCTAAAAAATGTTTATTTCTTTACATTTGGTATTTAAAAAAGTATTATTACTTAGTTTTATTTGTATAACTTGTGTTATCTTTGGGTAGGGATGTTTTAATTTATCCAATGATTTTATCTCAAATGTGGTGAAAATATAAGTGACCTGAATATTTAAATATTCTGTGAGGAAGTGAATGTATCGTATTTAAGAAGCTGGATTTTTACATAGAGTTTCATAATCTTATTTTATAAAACAATTAAATTTTTCAGATTGCTTTTTGACTCGTGTTTTACTCCTGACTGAAGTAGGAACTACTAACAAAGACATTCCCTGCGGATTCCAATGCTTATCTTGGGCTTGGCTCTCCACTGCTCTCTGCCTGGTCTAGTAGTTCATATGTGAGCCAAGTAAATATTGACCAGCACTGGATTTTCATGGTTACTGTACAAATGTAAAAGAATGTACAAAGTATTAGAGTGTCCAAGTTCAGAGAGCCTGGGTGGATGCGATGCAGCCGGTTACAAGTCTATAGAGTTGTAGACATACGTGGCCAGCATCGCTCTTGGCCTGGTGTCGTTCTTGGAGAGCTCACAACCTTTGCCCTGACCACAGCTTGTAATTTCATGGAGGAAAGATGATGCACTGACCCTGCGGAGCTTGGAAAGCCTCACGTATTGCCACTGTGTTTAAAGGAAGGGAGCAAAGAGAGGTCACATATAAAAAAAATTCACTTTTGCCCTCAGCTGCAGAATGAGGCACCTGCAGAGAGATGGGCAACTAAAAATGGGAGCAGAGAGAATATGAATGCTGTTATTAAATCTCAAATAGTTTTAAGGATTTCATTCACAGTGCAAGCCAAAGGCTTTGGTGGTTGCAGGGAGAGACTGCTCTGTTTCTTTCTTCAATCTACACAAACGGAGCTGAGATATTCAACATATTCCTTTCTCTTGTGTAAAGGAAGGAAAAGCCATTAACCTTGCGTGACAAATATTCCAGTACAGCAGATGATAGGATTTTAAGCAAAGAATGAGGAAGAGAATCCTGGTAGCAGTGATAGGTTCTCATCAAAAGGGCTCTCTTACTGAGAGTGCAAATGAGATATATTGCCTTAAAATACTTGGCTTTCATTTTTCTCTGAATTTTCACATCACTTTTGGGATCCAAGTGCAAGTATTCAGTAATAAACTCCTCTTTATATTTCACATGCTATATATTAGCA